AGATTGTCTGTGAAAGAGTATCAATTGTGCTTTGTCAACGGAAGTGCCAAATAAACCTTGTATAAGAAATGAGAAAGTAATTCTTCTATTAAAGCTTACTTTAGTACCTCCCTAAATTCCCCATCCCCAACTGGATTGAAAAAAATGATGGAACAGTTTAGGTACTTGGCTAAAACTATAATTTACAATTCATAAGCAAGTTTGTACATTTTGTTGTAAAGAATGAGGACACATCACACTAAGCTTCACAAGGGATAGTTAAGCATAACATCTTGTCGAGCAAGTTCAAGCAACATAGGATCATCAAAGAATTTGTTAATAGAAACATCTTCACTTAATCCCTTGCGTCTTCTTGTTTTGATCATGAATTCACGTGCTAAGTGAGTAGCAGGTTGAGGCTCAAGAGGCCGAATGACAATACTCTTGTCCAATGGATCACCTGGGACAATCTGAAGCACAAGAGCATTAATTTAAATCATATCTAAAGAAGACTTCATTGGTACTGTACACATACCTGCCAGTGATGGAAAACAGATAGACAAAATGCCTGACCCTGTGTGTGCGTTCTCAAATCTGTTTCAAATCCAAAGGAATCAATAGCAGGAATAAAAGCTTTGATAGTGTATAGGGGAGAACCGGGTACGGGAGCATCTTGAGTGACATGGCCTCTGTAATACAAAAAAATGACATCAAGAGTTTCCTTTTTTGACACTTAAAATGTAAGAATGGAACTACTTGTGCTCACCTTCTTTTGGCCAACACTGTGTACACAGCAGAAACACAATCAGCAGGAGCTTGGACTTCCACAAAAAGATACGGCTCCATGAGCCGAGGTGTAGCCATGAGAAAAGCAGAATATGCAACTCTCCTGGCAGTGGGGATAACCTGACCACCTCCACGGTGCAGAGGCTCACTAGCAATTACTGCATCTAAAATCTTAAACTTGACATTTCTGATTGGCTCTTCACAAAGAGGACCTTCCCGAGTACCCCATTGGAAACCCTGTAAAAGAACCAGATGATCATCAGTATGGATTCAGACATCAAAGAAGCATCATCCCTTTACAAGCAGGCGGGGCCTCGCAGTTAGTCATAGTGATTTCAGGCCCAGCTGGCAGAGAGCGATGCATCGTGGGTTGCCTACGTACGTAGAGAAACCTACCCATCTCTCAGGCAACTCATTTGAGACGAAAATTCTGCATAAGATTTCAGCAACTGATATACAAAACGTACACATGCAGAACCAATTAGGAAAAATATACGTACTTGGACAATAGAGTCTTTAACAGAGTTGAGGAGACTTTTGTCAACTTCAGAGGGTAATGTATCATCCACAAGAATGTTGGGGCCCGTAGTGTCAGGACCAAATGCCCAAATTGAACGGGCAGCAAGAAGATCCCAGTCATACTTAGTTTGAAAGAATTCTCCCAATCTCTTTCTACAAGGGTGACATAGAATGATGAGATTAGTAAAATACAAGCACCAATGAAACTAAAGATATTACTGTAAGTTTTTATACACATACTTATTCCAGGAAATATGAACAACTTCACTTTCAATATCTTCAGCTAAGCCTTTTTCAAGAGGTTCTGCTATCATTGTCAGCTTGTTCCTTTTGTTTGGTGTTTCAGCAAAACATTTCAGTGACGAAGTTTCCACAACAGTTTCACAAAACGCAACAACCGGGTCAGCTACTTTGATATCTATGAGAAAAATAGTGCACATGAACAAAAAGTCTACAGCGTATTACATTTTAAATACAGAACTATTGACAACTTACCAATTTCAGAGTACATCTTTCTTAAGTCATGCATTGCACAGTCAAGATAGAGTTCACCTGTACCAAGGACAACATGTTCGCCAGATTCTTCCACTCTGGTGGACAGCAAAGGATATGATTTATTTACCTTTCTTAGCCCATCTAACATTTTTGGTAATTCTGATGGGTTTACAGGTTCAACTGTAGATGAAAACAAAAATAAGCAAACGACACAAATATAAAATGTAGAAAGACAGTAAAATTATTTAAATTTTACAAAACAAAGAGTTATAATTTACCTGCAATTTTAATGACTGACTGTGTGTTGAATTTCAAAGGTCTGAAAATAAATAAGTCATCTGCTGTTGACATATCTGTTATGGTTGCTGTTTTCACAATGGGCTGGTCAATTCCTTCGATGAGCACCCAGTTCCCTGCTGGGACTCGGTTGACTTCTATCTTGTACCGGGCTTCATAAATCCACAAACGCCCTACATTGAGAATTCTGGAGTCTTCTTCATCTTGCAAACTGTAATTTTCCCCCAACACACGCACTTCTTGTCCAGCATGGAGAGTGCCACCAAGAACTCGTCCAAGTACGACAAATGACGTACAGTCTTCAGTAGGGTACATCTTTGTGCTGTGAACCATCAAGCGTCCCTGGAAAATAAGAAAAAAAATTATAAATGAACAACTTTTTTTTTTTCAAACAATTTACAGGATTTGTAGTATAACACTAACTTACATCAGGATCACACGCACACATATCATCACCAAGATCTGATTCCACAGGTCCTGTGTAAATATGCTGGACCTTGGTTTTGGCATTGTCAGCAGGAGACGGTATGTGCTCTACACACATCTCCACAAAGCCACTGAAGTCTTTCAGAAATCTGCCACATATCATTCTCAAGAGTGGGCGGATGTTCATTTTCATTTCATCACGAGAAAGACGAATGCCAAGTTCCTCTAGCACATCCGGTAATGTTGAGTCAACATCACCCACAACCTGTCAACATATAATTTAATTTTAAATATCCCAAAAAATAGTATCAGAAGTAACCCTGATTCAAAATTGCTTAAATTTACCTGGGCAAATAGTTTATATAAGGGTTCCAAAATGAATTCAACAAAACTTCGTTGAGCAGACCCATGAGGTGATTTTTTAGAGAACTTGCGCGTCTTATTATTAAAATACATATCGCCCCAAAGACGTCTAGCAAACTCCTTCATATTTACTCCTGGGTAAGTCTGAGCATAGATGTTAGCAAATGATTTGAGGGTGAAGCAAACTCCATATTGGGAACTGGCAAAGCAGACATTGCCAAGAACTGGGGATACAACAATAGAATTTTCTTCCTCAGAGTAAAGACTTAAGAGGCCATTAACTTCTTCTACAATTTGCCTTAACTTGAAGTATGCATCTTGAGGAGGAAGCTTCAGTTCTAACATCAAACGATCAATTTTGTTTATGCACAAAGTTATAGCTAACTTTTCTTGAACAGCATGTTTGATCAGACGCTCAGTGTTAAGCATGACACCCTCAGCAGCATCAACAAATACAACCACACCATCAGCTATCCTCATGGCAGCAGAGACTTCGTCAGAAAAGTTAACATGACCTGGAGAGTCTAAGATGTTGAACAAGTGTGATTTTGACCTAATGTCAGGCAGGACAAGAGTAACAGGCATGGACTTGATGCTGACACCACGTTCTTGTTCAGTGAAAAGAGTATCAGTATATCGAAGGTTTCTCTCTTCATTGGTGACAAGAGCAGGATGAGTCTGTTGCATCAAGCAATCTACAAATGTTGTCTTTCCATGATGAAGGTGGCCAACAAGAGCAACATTTCTTATCAATGTTGGTGTGTCCATGAGGTCAGCAAGAAATCTGAGCAGATGGATTTACAAATTAAGAACTGGTAATTTTTCAGAAATTATATCACAGTAAAATGTTTGTACTTACTCCATACTGTAAATAGTTTCTGGCAGTTGCTGTTCTTTGACTTGAAATTTATGTTCTTTTAATGGTGCGATTAGAGGAGTTGTGAGTGCTTGTGTATCTTCTTCCTGTACTATGGTCTCCACTTCAGGTCCAAAAACTTCTGCCGCTGATGGGTAATACTGTTTGTCCTCATGGAGTACAACCGCCATGGGTGCAACATCCATATCTGCGTCTGCATCTTCATTTGCATCATCCTGAAAGAGAAATTTAAGGTCATTTATTTTATTAAAAGTAATAATGATTTGAAAAGAGTATCTTCTTAGAAAAGCGAATTAACAGTTTAAAACAATCAATTACTTACATCATAGTCCTGGTCTTGATCTCCATCCCGCCCACCATAAGTTTCCTCTTCTTCGTCATCTGATTCTAGTTCTGGGCCAATGTAGTTGCCAAATTCATCATACAAGTCAGCGTCCATTTCTCCTGCTAGGACCAAGGTTATATTTTTATCAATAAATGATTTTGTTTTGGACGCCGACTACCGGCACGAGAGGTTAGAGTCCCATACCATCAGACAGAAGCACTGGTAGGAAACAACATAAATGCCAAACACATACCTTACTGGAGATGGATGTTGGTTTAAAAGTTTAACTTAAGGAGGGATCAGGCATAAAGTAAATTAATGACGTGAACACACAAAAACAACAGTAAACAATTCACAGTGCCTCGAGAAACGAACGCCAAACGCAGCGCCGCCAAACTCGTGTTAAAGTAAAAAAAAAATTGTATTCTACTTGCGATTCGGATTGGATGTTTACACTCATAAATGTAGCCATGCGCGAGGCTTCTCAAGAGGACAGTAAATAGCGGCAAGTTTGAATACATGATGTGAACGTTTTACATTTCTGTTCTGCTGCACTGTCATTGTATTTATCCTTTAGGTTGAATGTTATTTTGTCATATTGAGGTAGGATTTAATCAAATTTTTTCATGGAAAAGTTTATATGGTTCAAGTTCTGTGGCAACGACTGACTACGCCTTGAAACTCTTTGCATGACGTCATATGCTTAAGATTTATAGAGGTTTACTCCCGTCTGTTGTCTGCCCGTCAGCTGTCAGCTACATTTCGGATCAGATCTGTCTGTTCACGAAACTTTTACACTTTCCTTGGTTTTTCGACACTAAAATTGTTCAAGATTTGAGTTTTGGTCGCGCATTATAACATCAGCCATGGCTTCAGAAGTTTATCGTGAATTAAAGCTGTAAGTCTCGCAATCCATTTAATATTTGTCCTGCGTTAGTTACCATCTGATTGTGACGTTTGTTTATTGATGACATTTCATTACTACTGCTTGTATATCAATTGTCAACCTTTTGCTGGATTCTCTTTGATGAAGCGTGAACGTAACACGCTCAGTTAAAGTTTCAGCTTGAATCTATCATGCGAATTACTTGGATTTTATTAATCGCAGTATCTTACATAACCCTGTATTCTCAGCTGTCTTATACAGATTTTGATAGGAAACGCTTGTTTGCACAGGTACATAACACCAGAGAAGTTCTTTGTTGAACCAGTTAGCGGAAATGGAGATCTTATGGTTATTGATCGAGTCAGCCAAGACATTTCCTTACAGAGTAAGTTCTCTCATTGATTTCTTTATGTGATTTTCATTAATCATCCCCTATGGGTTTTCTTTTTGAGATAGTTACTGTGGCCCAAACAAGAAATGTAAGCAGTTTGTTCCTTAATACATTCTATTTTCTTTCTCAGTTAATAAAGGACAAATTCCACCTTCATCGAGCTGTAAGGTGATAAGTGGTATCATGGGTACAGTTCGCCTTCTTGCAGGAAATTACCTTGTTGTCATAGTTGGTAAAAAGCATATTGGCACCATCAATGGTCAGCCTATTTTCCAAGTCACTGAGACAGAAGTTATATCATATTCCAGGACCCTATCACATCTTACTGAAAACCAGGTAAGCTTTTTCTTTAAATTTAGTGTATATCCCTTTTATCTCTTGCAACTAAGGGGTAGGATGTTGTAGTATTTTCTGTATCTCCCTATTTCAAAGAGAGGTTTTCCCTCCCCATGGCACTTTATTTTTAATTATTTTTTCCAGATGGCTGATAACAAAATGTATGTTTCAATGCTGGAACATGCTCTATCTTCTCCATTCTTGTATTTCTCTTTCACGTATGATTTGACACACACTTTGCAAAGATTGCACAATATCACGCCAGAATTTTTGAAGGTAAGATTTAATTGTTTCATTGATGTACCCGTTTCTAATCCTAGTTTTATGTGCCCACCCTCTATCTTTGTGTTTTACTCTTCAGATGGCTCTTCATGAAAGGGCTGACCAGCGGTTCCTTTGGAATGGTCACCTTTTAAGAGAAATCTCTCATCATCCAGATGTGCATTCATTCTTTGTCCCAGTTATGCATGGGTGTATCCTTTTATTTTGTTTTTAGAAGTTTCATATAGTATTCTACCTCTACATTTAATGTTATTTTTTGCTGTGTAATTTCACTGGATTGACCTTAATCCTTTTAATAGTCATTTCTATAAATCAATATACAATTCAAGGTAAAGCCTTTACCTGGACTGTGGTGTCAAGGCGCAGTCGATTTAGAGCAGGAACTCGTCTCTTTACGAGAGGGATTGACTCCCAAGGAAACGTGGCCAATTATGTTGAAACTGAGCAGATTGTTGAGTCCAGTGGTGACAGATATTCTTTTGTACAGGTAAGATTAATTGAGATAAATTCCATGGTAAAGAAGAAACACAATAGACTTTGACTTGATGTTTAATTTATGGTGTCCTTTCTCTAGACCCGTGGATCGATTCCTTTGTTCTGGCATCAGTTGCCTAATTTGAAATATAAGCCCAAGCCTGCTCTGATTTTGGGAGAAAATCATGCTGAAGCTGCTGGTAGGCACTTCAATACACAAATTTTCAACTATGGTAGACAAGTTCTTGTCAATTTGGTGGGTACAGTTCATTACTGAGTCTTACTTTATCATATTGTACAGTTTGATATATTTAAGCCTTTCAATCACAGATCGATCATCGGGGAGCTGAAGATGTTTTGGAAAAGGCATATGCCAATATTGTGAGCCAAGTATCAAATCCCAATATCAGGTAAAGTTAAATAAAAATAAATAAATTAGTCATAGTCAATGGATTCAGGATAAAAGTTGTGGATTTAGAAAGTTTACTCTTAATTTAATTCACAGATATGAAGCTTTTGACTTCCATGCTGAATGCAGTAAAATGCGTTGGGACCGTCTTAGTATTCTCCTTGACCGATTAGCCCATGAGCAGGACGAACTTTCTATGTTTCTGCTGACAAGAGATGGCACCCTAGTGTCCCAGCAAGAAGGTGTCTTTCGTACTAATTGCATTGACTGTCTGGATCGTACAAATGTTGTTCAAAGTATGCTGGCCAAGCGAAGCCTTACTAATGCACTTCAGGTTTGTAGTATAGCTGTCTGACTGGATGTCCTGTTTATATATTGGTGAAACAAATTAAAGTTTAACTATTTATGTGTAGAAACTTGGAGTGTTACCCGTTGGTCGCCAAGTTGAAGATGAATATGGCTTGGAAGCCTTATTCCGAAGTGTCTGGGCTGACAATGCTGATTACATGAGCATTCAGTACTCTGGAACAGGAGCACTTAAAACAGATTTCACGCGAACCGGCAAACGAACAAGAATGGGCCTGGTGAAAGATGGTGTAAATTCAATGATGAGATATTGCAAAAATAACTTTATGGATGGTTTCAGACAGGTATGAAATATTTAAGCTCTTTTCATGTATTTTGTCTCTGGATTAACGTTTTAGTGAATAACCGAAATTTCAAACCTTCTTAACTGTTGGAAATATTGCACATGGTGTATTTTTCTAAATTTCTATCTTATATTGTATTGTTATAGGACTCCATAGATTTACTCTTGGGATGCTATGTCATTGAAGAAGGCGAGGGGGTAACTAGACCCTGTCCACTAGAAGCTCCGAAGGGATGGAGGTATCTCACTGTAAGTTCTCCCCATCAGTTACATTTCATGCAATTTTTGTGATTAGTTGTAAATTATATGGAGGCAGCTGTATACATAACTCATTTAATTTTTCCTTTGTAGTTCCCTTTGATTCTGCTTGTTGCTATTGCAATGTTCTTTGCAAATATCATCACACCAACAGGTAACGTAGTTTTTTAAGTGACAGTTCCAAAACTAGCTCATTACATGACTGTGCACCAATATCTTAATGCTGATTCTTCCATTTTCAGATTACACAACAGCAGTTTTGCTGTATGTCCTTTTCTGGGGTCTGATGGTAATGGCAACATTTTTCACAATTATGTTCTATGGCACAGAGTTCGTTGATTACCCAAAGCTCTCTGATTTGAAAAAGCCTCAGTAGTCAAGTTATTCTCTAGTTGCCATAATTGCAGCCCTTATCAAGCAAATTGTCATTGGCTGTGAAGATAATTATTGGATTGCATCGTATAATTGGGGTGTATTGTTTTCTCTTCTGTACCTCATTCACAGTTCTTTGTGATTTGGATACATCCATGTCTCTCATTAGTTCTCACCAATTGTAAACTTCGTTTTGAATTTTCCTACCACTCCTCGTAAAATATGTACTTATCTACTTCTCCAAAAAATGTGGCAAGATAATTATTGTACTCTTATACTTATACCCTAATTTATTCTGTGTTAATACGTTTATTATGCTATGCATTGATTGAGCCCCATTGCCAGATTGATTACGTAACTTAGCTCTCACGCTCTAGATCAAAGGAATGGAGTCCTTATGTCTTCCTTCCAGAAGTTCACTGTTTCATTTTGAATTTTGTCACATTCCGGACGTCTGGACGTCGAAATCTCCACAATCCCAACTGATAAAATCAGTTAATTATCTCTTGTTTATTAAATATTTCATTGTACACCTTGTTCTCTGTAGGTGTCTTAGTGGTCAAACTTTTAAAAACTTGTAGTTATTTAATAATGCTGCTCAATTATATTTCAGTGTTCTGAAATATGCTCTATTTTTACTATAGAAATGTTATAGATAAAATTGTTTTTTAAAAAGTGCTATTTTGCAAGGGTTTAAGCTTTTATGTTAAACTGTTTCTTGTTGTTTGATATTGATGCCATTATTAGTGAATGTCGAATTGTTTTGTAGTGAATAGGCTTCTTTTTTTGCAATGAATGTTATGCTGGGATCTGTTAATTGCTGAAAGTTCAATGCACTTGTAGTTTCCCTCAGCAGTCTATGCGGTACTTGTAAGTACTGAGTTTATAAATTTATATATTAACATGTTTTCTATTGTTGAGGACAGATTTCTGACCTTTTATTTGCACTGCATTTTTCTCTAAAGTACAATGAATCAGGACTTTGACCTCATTTTAACCTAATATTCTCTACTTGCATGTTAATTTATTGGTGAGTATTTTATAGCAGTTTGTGCATTGCAACTCGTGTCAAGCAGAGCTTAATTTTTATTTGTTTTGATTTAGTGATTGTTTTGTTTTTTTGTTGTGTCTAACTCTTTATAGAACTATACCTGTTGTGATTTTAAACGAAAGTAATAAAAGAAATTCAAAAGCCAAATCTTGCTGCCTGGTAAGCCCCCCCCTCCCCCTCCTCCGACGGCAAAAACCTAATGGTCGGAGACGCGCTCATTAATTCCCGGCTCAGCTTCGGTTTTTTTTCTTTCTCTTTTTTTCTTCGGACGGCGAGTGAAATACGGCGTCGAAGGGTTCCCCGCGATGCTAGGGCGCAGCTGGTGTCAGGCTGAGCTGCTGTCTAACCGATCTCGACGGGTAGGCCGAGACTGAACGAACTAGGCAAATGCCATCACCCCCTTTCCCGCCTGACAGCGGCGGATCAACTAGTAGAAAATCTGCCAAACGCGACAAGGATAAGTAAAATGGGTCCGCACTACACAGTTAGCTAATTGCCATCCATCACTGTCGGCCGCCCAGCGGCCAGCGGCCACCCTCCTCCTGCCTCTGGTCCAGCGGCTGCTCCGCACACGTCAGATGAAGTCCGCCCGCTGTCATCGATTGTTGTAACTCAAGATCAATGAACAGTCAGTACGAGGCCAACAATGACCTCTCTCAAGATTTTTGACCTCAGGTGTAACATAAGGGAGATTATTCTCTATCGAACTCTGTTACGTGTGCAACAAGCTATTGCACACTTATTAAAGTACCTGCCTCCTGCCTCCAGAATTCCTCTTTTCTCGATCCTTCGTTGTAGGGATGATTGTATACGGGGTCGCATCTAGAAAGTACGTCCGTCATTCGCAGTGACGCAACTGTTAAGTACAGTCTGTGTAAGCGCTCATGGCGCCTGATAGGTAGGCACAATAATGCCTGCAATGCATGCGTGTGCTGCGGGGTGGCCTACACTAAGCTCCGCAGGCGCCGAGCTCTCGTAATATGTCAAGTGAATCTGAGTAAAAAACAAAAAAAAAAACGGACGCACTTTTTAGACGATCCCTAAAGGACACACCTTTGAGAGTGTGGCGGGAGGGACAGGCTTGTGCCAGGCCGGTCTATTGTGGAGTAGGGACTCTTTATGGTCTCCGCGTCTTAAGCGCGCCGGAGTGGACCCTGTAAAGGAGGATGTACGCGCTGAGCGTGGGGGGAGGTGGGCACCACACCACAGCCCTTCTACAACTCGTCCCCGCTCCCGCCCTCCTCTCCACCCTTCTGTTTCAGGGAACTGGAGCCCCGCTGATTCCAGGATGCGTTTGGCTGGAAGCCCAGAGCCTCGGTCCTGGAGCCACGCCCCTGACATGCCGTGTTTGGCCGTGACAGGATGAGCGGGGGAAGCAGGACGCTAAAGCCTCCCGGGTGACCCCGGCCAGCCCCGGACGAGCAGAGTTAGCATGGCGTGTTTCTTTTAACAGAGATTAATAAGTCTCGCAGGGCTGTAGGAAATTAGTCCAGGAGGTGACGAGGGGGCGGCAGAGGAGAGAGCCGTGTGAAAGGGCTGGGGGAGGGGGGAACCCCGCCTCTCAGGGAGGGGGTGGTCATGCAGCAAGTTCAGCTACAGGTGAGGAGCGCAAATGACGCGCGGTGGAGGGGAGGGGGCGTGTTAGGCGTGGAGAGGGGGTGGCGCTCTGTCTGATGTCATCGACGCCTGGTAATTAGGCACTCTAGGTTCCCCGAATCAGGGCCATAAAAAGAGGGCTGCATATAACGTTTAGAACAGCAGAAAAACGTGCCAGCAGGGGAGGAGAGGGAGGGGGGGGGGGCGACAGGGGTGGCATCGGGACGGCGGCGGCGGCTGGACCAGCGATGGAGGGGAAGTGAGGTGAGATGGACCCGCGCGGGGGTGCGCGCGCGAGAGGGAGCGAGAGAGCGCGAGAGACAGGATCGGGGGCGGAGAGGCTGGGCGAGGTGGGGGAGGATGGCGGGGGTGCACGGGGTGACTGCGGGCCGGGCCGGGCCGGGACGACGGAGGATATATACGTGGGAACACTTCCGCCGCCCGCTCAGTGGAGTGAACCGCGCGCGCAGCTCTGTCCAGACAGACAGCAGCAGAGAGCACTGTGGACAGGTCAGCCAGCAGCGTCTGCAGCGAGCACTGTCGCCGTGTGTGGTGGTGGACAGCCGCGAGTGGCGGGCGAGACGCACCCGCAAACACCTGCACGCACCCGCACCGCGCGTACCGCGCCCGGACAGCTCGTCCCCGTGACCCTCCGGACCGCTAGAAGAGCCCCTCTCCCGCCACACCCGATGGCCGCCGCGCAGAGGGTCCTGGTCGAGGCGATGCTGGTGGCCGCCATGCTCGCCACCGTCGCCCACGCTATCGAGCGGCCCAAGCTGCCCCGAGGTGAGTCACGATACGAAGCCCTGACCCTGGTTGCGGTTCAGTTCTGGACTTCCAATAACATTCATGTTGTTGGATAAATTTAGTTGGATAAAAACCTCTCCGCACTAAAAAATAAATAAAAAATACAAAGTAAAAATTTTGAGTTAACTGTGACTAAATTGCTGATGTGTGTGCGTAAAGTCTCGTCTAGAAAATTGATGTGCCACAAAACTGAACAAAGCTCGAAACAAAGGCAAATAAAAAGTGTGCTGTAAATTTGCATAGTACACTGCCATTAGAAATGTAATTTATTTTCACAGTACATCCTTTAGTTATCCAGGTAAATCCCATATTAAATTTTGTTGGAATCTGCTGAAGCGTTCGTGTCGGGTGTTTGAGCTAAGAGGGACGTTATATGTAATTGCAGGCATCTCATGTAGAGCCTGCAGCCGGTCGCACGGCGTACGCCAGCCCCTGCTCACGGTCTCGGGGCGCGCAGGGCGGGAGGGTAAGTGAAACCCAAACCCCCAGACAAAAGCTTCGGCTAAAAGCCGAACCGTGAAACACATCTGAAAATTAAACTTTGCGGACAATCGCGTCCTCCCTCTCTCCTGAGGTGTATATTACGCCTTACACCCCACCGCCAGCACGCCCGCGAGCTAGGCACGCCCGCGGCGCGCACGTGCGGTCGGTTGCCTATCCCCGCTTTGACAGGCGCGCGCCGAGTCCGAGTCCACCAGCCGCGGTCGGTCAGGCTAAACCCACGCACCACGCAGAGCTGCAAAGACTTTTCCTTTCCAGGCTTATACTTGAAAATAAAAAGACACACGAAAAAATTAAATCGATCAAAAGTGCTTTGGTGTTGTTGCTGTTTTGCTTCGGTGGTTAACGATGTCCCAAGGGAGAGCGTTGTAACGCGAGCAGCGGCGGTGGGGGCTAGCGTGGGCTAGCAGCGCATCGGGCGACTCATCCGATCCTATTCTCTCGCCCAGCGTCTCAACACGAGCTCTCTCTCTCTCCCAGCGCCCATAATACACCTCACCTCAGCCCCTCGCCCCTCCACCACCCCACCGCATCCCTCGAGCTTCCTTAGCGACACCTCAGCCTCACCCACCTCCCCTCCCCCTGCCCCTCACCGGCCGGCGGCGGCGCTCAGCAGGGGCGCCTTGTCCTCCCTCGAATAGATCGCGACCAGCCTTTGCCTCTGTACCGCCACCGCCGCGGCCGCCGCGCCGTAAGCTGTCAGGAGGAGCGCGGCGCCGGCACACCGCGGCCGGGGAGCTAATCCGGTCTTAATGAGTCGCCTGATCTGATCCGCCAATGCTTAGGCGAGCCAAGCCAAGTAGGGCCCAAGGAGGGCCGAGCAGGGCCGAGCAGGGCCGAGCAGGGCCGAGCAGGGCCGAGCAGGGCCGAGCAGGGCCGAGCAGGGCCGAGCAGGGCCGAGCAGGGCTGAGCAGGGCCGAGCTGAAAAGAGACCCATATCGTCGGTATTCATTCGACCCGGATGAAACCACCGGCGCGGATGAATCCCATGATAACTATCAGGAAAACAGGATATAGCTACTGGCTCATTTTGAAACAATGTTCTTGGGATGCTTCTGCCAAAAGTAATTTTTCCTCCAGAGCAGTGGTGTCTTATTTGAGAAATATTGTGTGGGTGCGCGGCGAGCGGCTTGCGTCTGCGTCGTATGGTAGGGGAAGGATAGCAGTTTCTCCAGCGGTATTCGCGTTATTACCTCCACGATTCCGAGGGATTCGGAGCTTACAGCGACGGGGAGAGAGAAAGTTTCTCTGTACGCCACATAGACTCGGCCGGCGGACTGTTTTAAACGCGTTAGGCCTGCTCCGAGGCGCTGTTGCGTGGTGCGGAGGCCCTGCTCGCAATTTCCACGTGAGCCGTGCGAAACACAGGAGAGAAAAAAAAAGTTTGTGATGATTACATAGTGACGGAATGATAGTAGAAAGTTTCTCGATTTGCGTGGTGTTTGTTATTGATGCTCTGCATTGTGGGCAGAAGGGAGTCGAGACGAACGCGACTGAATCGGAGCGTTTGGGGTGGATATTGAGTAATGGCTGTAGGGAAAAGCGAATACAAAACAAGACCCTTGTTCTTATTTGCACGTGGCTACTCGCCTCATGGGCACTGCAAGTGACGTTGTTTGTCTCTCACAAAAAAAAGCGGGGACGGAAATAAAACAAACATAAAAAAAGTGGTACGGGGGCGTAAGTGGCCTCCGCCCGGAGCCACCACGGTGCAGCTGCAAATCCCAAAATAATAAAATAAATGACGCTTTATTATCTTTTGCGTCAACACCGGGTGACGAGCTGTGGCCACACAGAACGCACCCACAAACAAAAAAATAAAAATAAGACCAGGCAAGCGCTTAAAAGGGGGTGAGTGCAGGATTAACACACTGGGCTCCCCCTCCACCCGCACGACCGCAGCGCGGAACTGACAAACGCGATCAGACCACATCAAAGTTGGGCGCGAACGCAACGAGTCGCATAGGCGTCCGCCCCGTCGATCAATTCAGTGGAAGCGACAAACCAGCAGGCAGCCCCGGCCCAGTAGTCTGACCATTTACTGCGCAACGTGTGGGAGCTATGGGGGCGAGTTTGTGAATGGGAGGAGGATAGAGAGAGAGAGAGAGAAGGAGGGGGGGGGGGTGTTGTCTATAGATCCACTCTGTTCGTGACGTATACACGACGCCAATTAGGACAAATAAATGCGCAGAGAGGACCTCGACGGGGAGGGCGACAGAACAGAGTCGAACTTCTAACGAGGAAGACAAAACCCTGTGTGTTACATATAGGAGGAGGAGGATTGGTGGTGGGTGGGGTGGAAGGGGGCTTTGACTTATTCCCAGGTAGAGAGAGTCTTGGGGAGTGTCTAAAAAAGTGGAGGATAGGAGAATCTTTTCCTGCGGTAATATTTGAAGTGCCCCTGCTTTAAGCGGCAAGAAAAGATGTGGATACAAGGTGTAGGTACAATGCCCCATGACGGTTTTAAGCCCCACTTCTTGCCAAGACAGTGTACAGGTACAGATACCTGCGCGGGAGATTTCGTACCGAGGAGTACAACAAAGGGTACGGATCGCTCGGATCCGCTGCTACGGCTGCGGCGGTGCGCGCTCGCCTGTACTCTGTAGGAGCTCGCTGCTACCGGGGCCGGAGCGCCCGACCATCGCAGGATAGGCAACCCGGCGTGACGGCGCGCGCGACGGGACGGCCGGCCCCCGCCGTGACGGCATGCGGAGCGGGGGAGCGGCCCCGGCCACCAGAAGTCGCCGCCGTTGTTATTGTGCGAAAAGCAATACACGACATTTTTCGCGCTGTGCATGGCCATTGCTCTCCGGGGCGTCCAGCGTCTCCCCTCGCCTCTCCCACATCCTTCCTCGGCCCCGGCCCTGGCCGACCCGCCCCGCTCCCCACCAGACGGACACTCAATATTTACGCCAGGGGCCGATTGGCTGCGGGCCGCGGCGGGGCCGCACCACTCGGGCACGGCTATCCAACCGAAGGATAATCAGCACTTTCAATAACTTAAAAGGGAAAACGTTTAACGCCAGGGAATTTGACTAAATACGTGGCTCATATCCTCCAAGTGTGAAGGATGTTGTTGCAAAGCATTTGTTTTTACGTTTGCAAAGCAATACAATAAAATGTAATTATGGATTTTGCGCTCGATCCAGACGACTAAAGCTCTCGTGCCGTTTGACCCGCTGACTCTCAGGGGGCAACATGGGCGAGGTGGTGTCGGCCGCCGCCGACGCCTACCCGATGGAGGAGGTGCTGATGCGGATGAGCCCCCGCCAGGGCCGCTCCCCGTACTGGCCGCTGCGCCACCCGGCGCTGGAGAACGCCCGCAAGCGCCAGCGCACCATGGAGTCGTTCCAGCCGCCGCAGGTGCGCTTCTTCAACAGCTTCGCGGACTTTGCGGCCGGCGGCGGCCCCTACATGGACGACTCGGGCATGCAGTCCTCGTCGCTGGACGAGGCAGCCAACGCCATCATGGACAACCGAATCCGACCAGGTCAGTCCGGTTGCAACCGCAAGCTTACATACTCAATTAAGGAGTACTCCAGTTTTAAAAAAAATATTAGAAAGAATAGCAGAACAGAACATTCGGTGTACGCTTGATTTTATGTTAAATGACCCCTCGTCGCCCCTCGTGCTTCCTGCTCCAGCCCGTGCAGTGCGTGCTCATATGGGCCGTGTGGATTATTTCTCTTCTTACCCTGCAGATCGCACCCAGCCCAAGGCCATGACCGCCGAGGACCTGATCCGGGCGCTGCAGGAGAAGGCGCTGCGGCAGCAGTCGGAGGAGGACGGGCCCGCGGCCGGCGCCATCCGCTTCGGAGGGATGCTGGGCAGGAAGTGAAGCGCCACCCGGCGCCGCCAGCCCCCAGGCCCGGAGGGGCTTTCTCATTTCAGCCCAAGAAAAATTACACGTGGCCTTTTTTATTCCTTTTATTCTCATTAATTTTTATCTTCATTAAAGACTTTATTTCTCCCCAAAGAGAATCGTGGCAATATTAGAAAGAAAATATCTTAATGTGGCGGACGACGGTTAGTGATCATTTTCTAAATGAAAAAGCAAAATTTGAGATACTTGTTGCCAGCTAGTTAAAGCGTTCTAGCTTTGTTTGTACTGTCGCGCCTCGTAGTATATTAAGCTCCACTCCTGCTCCTCTGTTCATTTTCTTCTTGTTAGTTGGTGTGTCTGTATCATTGGGTGGAAACCACTCTTGAGTTTTTAATAATAAACTGATGAAGGGAGCATCGTGCGAAACCAAAAATGTCTGTCTCCTCCTCCTTCCTTTGTTTTTATTGTAAGACTGTAAATTATTTCCGAATCTAAGTAGGGCGGATCCTCACGGGAGCCTGGGGGTTAGGCACACACGCACGCTTGGCCACGCGGCCTGCGGCTGGCCTGCGGTGAGCGCCCCCTGCTCGCCCCGCTCTGCTGCCGCTGACACCACATCGGGGAGTGGATGATGCGAGGCGGGGGCGGTCCGAGCCGGGCCCGAGCCCACCGGAGTGACATCCGATAGCAAGGCTGCACACAGGCGTGCTCGTCTCCCAACACTATCTCTGTGGCGTTCTCTGTCTCTCTCCTCTCCCCCCCCCCTCTCCCTCCCTCTCTCCTGCTCTGCTCTTATTTCCGGGACCGGACAGCATCTGCCGCGCACCCCACGGCTCCAGCCAAAGCCGGAAAGGATTCTGCTAGTTGTCTAGACAAATCAAATGTCATCACAGCTCCTGAAAGAAAAAGACGACAGCAGCAGCAGCAGCAGGTGGTCGCGGGATGAAGAGGACGTCCGGTGCGGCACGCTGAGGCGTGGGCACGTGCGCCTGGAGGCCTGGCTGGACCGCTCTGGGCTCACGGCGTGGAAGCTGCAGACTGATTCCGCAGAGCGCTCAGGGTGAGGTGAGGTGGAAATGGGATGCCTCGTCCTCACGAGTGTGAGAGAGGGAGCTGTCGCTGTTTCTTTCTCACTCGTGGGAAGGGTACCTGTGGTCCACATATAATCTGGCTGTAAAGGAGCTCCATGACCGTGGGTCCAGTACAGTTTCACCAAAGTACGAGTCAACCGTCTCACAAACCCCGGGAGTTTGTTCTGACCACTGTGGTTCGGCTGATCCCTCTTTACGAACTCAGAAGTCGCTCTACGGTGGGATGAGAAAAGTA